TTTCTATATACTAGAGCACATTAACAATGCTTCGTCAAAAATAATAACGGTAAAAGCTTAATAACAAACATATGGTATTAGAATACTATTAGTACGTTCAAAGTAAGTACTTTGGAATTCTTGGCACGGATCCGCCAACTTTTTATTAGAGGAATACACAGCATTCTTATACTTAGCCTAATTTTTTACACGTAAGTGCTTTTTTGGGGGATATCACAAGTTTTTGTTGCTCAACGGGACATAGAAGCTTTAAGCACTGAAATCTATAATTTTCACAAATATAAAATGTAAATGCAGGATGATGTCGCTAATCAGAAAAATATATTGCGTTGTCGAAAATGTTTAATGGCATATAAATTTAATTTGTAAGTCTCCTTTTTTTTTAGAAATGCATAAAGATATATACAAATTTTTAAAGAAAATGTAATCTTGAATGCATATAAACATCGTTAATGGTGTCCAGCTTGTGCTGGATTATTTACGTACCTCAGGTCGTTCGAACAACAGAGAGGATACTTTAGTTTGAGCGCAGCGCCAAAGCGTCACTCGTTGCACACTTTTCTGGACACCCTGGACTTTTACATGCGACACCTAGCGTGACGTGGCATTTTGACATGCACGTCACAAAACGTAACATTTTGCGACTTCCGGCTACATCGTGTAGCTCTGTGCGTGGGGAAGGGATTTCGTGGCATTGGACTGCATATTATTTGTTGAATTTGTATTTATTTCTCTCGTGGGAACGTTTTGTTTGTGTTTTATATTTTTCAAGCGGATCCGAAAGGATCTTGTCAAAATTTGAATACTACGGGCCCCGAGAGTGCTAACTACGGGCCTGGTGGAGCGCGCTGTTGGGGCGACGCGACAGCCAGACCGGAGCACACACCCTCAGAGGTCAGCTACGCGGAACATTCGGCGAGCGTCTCCCCGATCCAGAGGGCATACGCAAGTTGCAGTAACGGCCTGGAGCCGTCCATTGAGGGGGCAGAGGTGAATTTAATTCCCACCTCCCGAAAATATCACTGCAGCCATCCCAAACACGAAAGATTCCAGGATTTACTTTATCGGAATCTAAGAAAACAATTGAAGATCGCGAGCGCTCTGGCGAATCCGATGGGTCCGCCAATCAGATTGGCCTAAGGGATGTATTACAGCGCGCCTCTTGAGAAGGTTCCCGATTTTCGACATTCTTAGCGTCACTCACGGTGTGGCCGAGCCTAGGAACAGACGTGTATTCGTCTGGTAAATTTTGTATAGTCTCGTATTGTTTTGTTCTAGTTTTGTCGGATTTGTATAATATAGTATTGTATAATGTACCGTGCCGTTTTGCGACCGCTTGAGGGACCCAGTATCAAAGAAATTGTGTCTTGAGGGTATCTGGAGTAACTAGGAAGGCGGCGAGTGACGCTTTTGTGAGTTGACCATATTTACGTGAATGATAGATAGACCGTGTCGCAGTGTCGTGCCTTACGCATTCCCGATCATTATTGTATCCGTGGATTGCTAATCGGTGGCGCTCTGGAGGATCGGTGCTATTTTATATCGTTTATGGGTCAAATTTTGGTTTTGCGTTACCGCCGATACAGTCCACGTCTCGCGGAGTCATTTCCTTAGCACAAAGGTATCGTGAGTCCGTTAGCACTCGTTAACGTTAAATTCTGTATAATATCCTTTTGCTTGTATATTCTGTGAGGAATGTTGTATAGAGTGTACTTCTGTATAGTATGGAGTGCGATGTATATTTTTGTAGAATATTAAGGTCCTGTAAATTTGTAGATATTATTTTGCCAATAGGTCTTCGGGACCGCCAGCTTAATAATTTCCTTGGGCTATCTACGGTCCTGTTCTGCCTAAAGCTTGTATATTTTGTTCAGGAACCGTTGTTCCATCTCTTTCTCTTGTTTGGTTTAATAAATCGGGCCAGAATTTGGTTTCGTATTTAATTTTGAAAACTTTAGTATTTGTCCGTTGTAGTTTTGAGAGTAAACCTCTCTGGGTTTCAGATTGCGTTTATTGTCTCCCAGACCTCAGGGCCCCACCGCATAAGAGCTGGCCAGGGTGTCCTTAGGAATAGAGATGGGCGATGTTCAAAAAAAGCATCGATGCTAAAATAATCGATTTAAAAACAGATCGATGTTTTCGAATCGATTTATTTTCAAAAACATCGATAATTATCGATGCATCGTTGAATCAAAGAAAGCGCGCACTAATTCAAACGCTATATGAAAACGAAATTGTTCATTTTGCTTCCTCATAGAGGAAGCTATGTGACGGTGGAAAACTTTTCTTTCAAGATTTTCATGTCACCATGTTCAGAATGTACCGAAACCTCGAGAAAACACATTTGGAGAAAATGTCCGGGTGTGTGTGCGTGCGCGCGCGCGCGCGCGCGCGCGTGTGTGTGTGTGTGTGTGTGTGTGTGTGTGTGTGTGTGTGTGTGTGTGTGTGTGTGTGTGTGTGTGTGTGTGTGTGTGTGTGTGTGTGTGTGTGTGTGTGTGTGTGTGTGTGTGTGTGTGTGTGTGTGTGTGTGTGTGTGTGTGTGTGTGTGTGTGTGTGTGTGTGTGTGTGTGTAATGGCCTCCCAAAATTCAAACATGTATAACTCGAGAACGGTTTTAGTTACAGCCCCCAAGTTTTGCAGGCATGTGCAGCTCTATAATCCCTTCATTGACTATAATTTTCGTCATAATTCAACCTGCGGATCCGATTTTATTTCATTTTCAAATTCCCCCAAAAAAAAGACGTTATCACTTTAGCGATCGCAAATTTTGTGATACTCGTCTAAATAGTTCTTGACAAAGTTTTGATTTTATATTTCGAAAAATCATCTTTATCGCTGCAACTAGTTCTTACTTCAACGAATCAAACCGCAATTCTCTGCAAGTATGGAATATCATCTAGCCGTAATACATATGAAATTTGGCGATAATAGGCCAAGCGGATATAATTTTATAGCAATTTGAAATTTCGCGGTTCGGTAGTAAATAAAGATTCATTTATGAGAAAGCCAAAGATTAAACAAAAATGAAAATGCTTCCTCATATAGAGACTTTGTACACTACCACCGATTCGGAGGAAGCAAATTGCAAGTTGAAACTTGCAGCTTTTTTTTTATACGAAAAAGCTGAACAACAAGATGAACAAACTTGTAGTACAGTAAGTATCTTTTTCCATTTTTTATATAAAAATATAATTAAACATTTTCATCATTACGAGTACATGGAGTATGTAATGTTGAAATGTTTTGTGTAATGCTGCATGGTTTTCGATTCCAGATTTGCTCATTGAGTTCGAAGTTTCCAACGGTTGGTATTCAAATGTATACCAAGACAAAAACATTATACATGAAAATATTTTTCAATATTTATCAATTTCAGTTCGTGTCCATGCAATGAATAGAAAATCTATACCTTACCTAAGCAAGCAGTAGCGTTATAGAAGCAAGTTCATACAGGTTTGAAACAGGCAATAAACTCAAAGCGTAGATCACAGAACGCAAATGTAAATTATTTAGCATATATGTACATTTTTATAATACATTTCTATGAGACATGCCAGAAAGAACACAGAAGCAAATTTAAATAAAAAGAAAAAAAGCGAATAGTGCAGTTCAAGGAATACCTCAATACTTTTTATTAAGAGAGCCTAGGAAAGTTAATTCATTTAATCTTTTTCCCGTGAGCCGGCTACGACGCTCATTTTTGATCGCTCCTGCTTTGGAAAATAATCGTTCACACGGTACGGACGTAGCAACGATGCTTAAATATTTTATAGCACTTGGATATAGATTCGGATATCCCGATTTTAATCTTTCCCAGTATCCGAGAGGGTCTTCGGACCGCGAAACAATAGGCTGGCTCAAACATTGTTTAAGTTCAAGATCGATGTCGTTGCTGTCGGATTGCAGCGTTTGATTTTCTGTTATCATTAAAGCATCGTGAATACTCCAAACGCTAGCATCGTTGCTTTCTGCGAATTAGTTTTAACATCCTCTCCGATGGCCACGCAAGTTTCTTTTAAACGCGACTTGAACATAGTGTCTATTTTCCTGACAGCTGCTACGCAGATGATTGGCTTTTGGAAATGAACTTTTTTGAACCGCGGGTCAAGAATTGTGGCGATTGATAACATTTCTAAAGCCTCATAATCTTCGAATCGACGCTCGGATTGCTCCAGGAGCTTAGTTTGTAGTATCGTTCCGGCTCGAGTAAACGGTTTTCGATTGCTGATAGTGAGAGTCATACACCGAATTATTGGTATCACCAAACTAAATGTTACGTATGAATCACCACTAGCCTCAGTAATTACGTTTTCTATGGGTTTCAAAAGCAAAGCAACACTAAATCGCGTAATACATCGAGTTCTTCGCGCGTCAGAAGGTCAACAGATACAGAACACTTCAACCTCACCGGATACACGTACTCGTGAAGTTCAAGGAATCGTTCGATCATTATTAGTGTTGAGTTCCATCTCGTGGGCACGTCCTGCTTAAATTTTAATACAGTTGCTTCGGTCTTCCCGTCCCGTATTTGTAATCGACGCAATTCTTCCGCTACAATAACGCTGCGCTTTGTAAGTGTGACAATCTGTTTAACTTTCGTAATAGTTTCTTCGACCCAAGACGTGGCCCTAATCGAGTCTGGCACAATGTGCGATAAAACATGAGCAAAACATTGGATATGCTTTGAAATTCCGAAACTGTCGATGATCGCTTTCTTTACGTTCGCGCCATTATCGGTAACGATCGCAGTAACGATGTTAGTATCTATGTGGAACAACCGTATTGACTCTATCAGCATCTCGGAGATATAATGCGCAGTATGATTTTCTTCTAGGGGAAACACTCCCAAGCACCCGCTATTCATACTTTTACCCAATAGATGGTGAACCGTTACGCCTAGGTACCCACTATTCAAGATGTCTAACCAAATGTCGCAGGTTAAAGTGAGTGAATTTGCTTGATTAATTTGACGTTTAAACAAGTCTCGAAGAAGTGTATACTTGTCCTCCATAAGCCGTGTAATGGTACTGTTATGTTGTGTAAGTTCCATAAATAAATACTCGTGCCGTTAAGATTAATATTATGACTTTATTAATATAATTGCGGGGTGCCGGAGACCGGACGCGTGTGAGCCCATGAAGCGCTCAGGCTAGACTGTTTTAGTCGGGAGGGGAGGCAGCCGCGTGAGTGCGTGAGTAGTGCTGCCAACCCTAGATCGCTAACATATCATCACATCTCCCTCCTTTGGGGAGACCTAACACATTTATTGTACATAGTCTTTTAGGTACTCGGGTTTTCTAATTTCACGACCCGAGCGTGTTCGCATGTTTACTTTAGGACTAGCTCCCGTCGGTATATTTACATCTCTAGTTGGTGTATTTACATTTTTGGCCGGTGAGCTAGCACGAACATTTTCATTTGTACGCTCGTTTACATTATCATGTGCGCTATCGCTATTACAGTCGTCACTGTAAACCGGACCATGCAAGTGCCTGCGGTTTCTTTCAATTACATTACCATTAGGCAGTTGCACTTCATAAGATCTCGGCCTATCGCAGATCTTGGTCACTCTAGCTGGGACCATCGGTTTATTTAATTCTTTTTTTACATTGTAACGTGGCGTCAGGACGACACGTTACAGAAGCCCCGCACCTCCGCGCGCTGCCGGCAGCACGGCAGTGCCTCCAGCCTCCATCTCCAAAGAGTTCGTAGGTCCGTGGTTGGGAGGAGGGAACGGGGGAAAGTAGTGGACTGGCGGCGGAGGCACGTAGCCCTTTTGGGTTGAGAGCCCGCAAGCAAGGGGTGCTCAACCGCCAGGACGCACTGCCGGTACCCCGGGAACTTTGATCGGCTACGGTTTGCGGGTCCGCGGGGAGGGCGCCGGAGAGGAGATTTGTTTTGATTTTTGACTTACCGCAAAGAGCGGTAGGTAGGATAAAAAGAGTGTGTCGCGGGGAGTCCGCGTGTAAGGACACGGGTATCCGGCGGACCGCGAAAAAGAAGTCCTTCTTTCATGCTCGGGCGATAGCGGAGCTATCGGATAATCGCGGATTGCGATTATCGGGATCTCTCGCAGAGAACCATGGCTCCCGGGTTTTTT